CCCGAGACCTGCACCAGATTTTCTGATACTATGACCTCTCAAAACATGCATCCATTTTGCGACATAAAATAATCCAAATTCACCTGACAGATTATTAGCTGGGGGAGGAACATTTCTTGAGTCGTTACAAAAATTCTCTAAGAACTAAAGAAACAGAAATAGTTAAAATTCCATGTCATACACAAGGCCTAATAAACCATAAATCTTAGAAATCAGCATCACTCACCAAAGCCCAGATTAACCAAGCACGTCGTGGGTATACAGAATCCACCCCACCCCCACCCCAAGCCCCAACCCTCAACCCTCAACCCTCAAAAAACACCTGTTAGCCTTCCCGGTACCTCTGACCACAGACAAACCGCAAAACACTGCTCTATACTACAGAGTGCCTTTAGTGACCCCCAGCAAAGCTGAGACGTCCAGGAACCGTCTACACCCTCTTCCCAGGGTGAGGATTGTCAGGCTCTCCATCCAGGCAGGGGAGTCCTTTCTGCCGCCATCCACTTCTCGGAATCTCGAGAGGAAATGGGGCTTCTCTTCGAGCTCAACCGACCCCACCCGGGGCCCCAGGGAACGCCCGCTCACAGATGGAGTGATTAGGGACCAGGGGGCACAGACAGCCACCCACAGGTCCCGGGGAAGTGGAGGGGGTCGGGCCGGGCTCAGCGAGCTGCCCCAGGAGGTAGGCGCCTCGAGCTTCTCGGTGGCGGTGCTCGGGGTGCGGCGAGGGGACAACTCTTACCGGAGGCTGCCGAGCTCGAGGCGGCGGTCGGCCGGGGCGGCTGCTGTAATCCATTAGGCGCTGCCGGGCTACGCGCGCTCCGGGCGGCGGGCACCCGCGCATGTTGGACCCGCGCGGCGGAGGTCACCCGGAGCATGCCGGCTGCTCCTGGCCGGCCGTGTCGGCGCCGGCGGGGGCCTGGGCGCCCGGGGCTCCTTCCGGGCTCTCCCGCCCGCTGGGCTCCCCGCCGGCTCCGGGGGCGGTGGCGGCGCGGCGGTGGGGCCAAGTGGGGCGCCGGGCGGGAGCCGAGGCCGCTGCGGACCCCGCACTCCCGCAGCCGGCGACTGGAACCCACCTCTGCAGAGACAAAGGTTAGAAAAAGAGGGGGTGAGGCTCTAGGAAGGCAGAATGCGGGGCGAAATTCGCCTGGGAAATCAGGAAAAAGGCCGTGAAGGCGAGCGGCGCCTGCACATGACCAGCCGCAGCCAATGACGACCGCAAATAGGTCATAAAAAGGTCTATTACCAAGTTGTAAATTTTCTTCAAACAAAAAGGAATTTACTGCAATTCCTTGCGGATTTTGCACATACAGCTCGCAAGCGCCATGTTTTTTCCTCTCTTTCTCTCTCCTCTCTCTCTCCTCTCCTCGTCTCTCCCCTCTCTCTCCTCCTCCTTTTTCCTCCCTCCTCTCCTCTTTCTTCCTCTGTGCCCCTCTCCTCTGCTCTCTGCCTCTCGTGCCTCCGCGGCTGTTGACTCTCTCACCTTTTCTAGGAATTATTATTTTTTTCTTTTTTGTTTTGTTTGACTCAAAACCTCTGTTCAGTTGGGCGTTGTGTTACAGGGAAAATGAGTGCGGTGTACTACCCAGGCGCTCGGGGAGGTGATCCCGGCTGTCACCCGCCTCCAACTCGCTCCTTATGCGGGTCACTTGGCTTCTCTTGCCCTCCCCTCACAAAAAGGCCCGCTCAGGAAGGGCTGCCAAGCACTTTCGGTTTTTACCCCTCTCATCTTCAGGCAAGCCAGCCCCAGGGATCTTGCTCAGAAAGCCTAGACTCTGCAGGCCCAGAAAGCACACACTCTCCCCCCGCCGCGACATAAATTGGGGCCCCTCCCGTTTCTTGGGGTTTCTGAGTAGGAGAGTCACCATCCAGCTCAAAGGCTGGAAATGGTTTTAGATACTCGTCAACTTCTCCAAAATAACGATTTGAGCTCCCAATGCCTGGCCTTTATCTGGGCAGAAGCGTCCTCCTGGTTAGTCCCGGGTTAGAGGAGAAGCAATCTTTCTGGATCCCCAATGAAACCCCTTCTTTAAGTCTTCCTAAGTGCAATTCTCATTTCTATGGAATTTAATTCTAGTTCTCCCACTTCCCTTGCCCCCCAAATGTTTGTCCGTTCAAAAGCCTGCTCAATGCAATATTGAAGTGGAGAGGGGCTCCATTTGTTCAGGAAAAGAAAGACTCTCTAGTTTCAGCCTTGAAAAAAATAGGCCTTTTTCTTCAGAGGCAGGAGTCACATTCCCTGTGCGCTTCTGGTAGTAGCTGCTCCAGCCAGCTTCAGCAGAACGTAAATGCCCTTGGCTGGCCCCATCGTTCCCCTCATCATTAATGCACCGGCATGGTCACCCAGGCTTCAGAACCTGCCTGAAAGAGGTAACCCCTCCCCCCATCCTTTCAAGGACACTGTCTTTGGACTTCTAGTAATAGGTTTATAAATATTTGCCTTGGATGTCTATGTGTAAGCTCTCTGCTATTAACATCTTCACACCCAGTAAGTACCTAAGTGGAGATGGACTTAAGCAGGAAGCAACAGCACCTTCTGGGAGCAGGCCATTTGTATCCCTTGAAAAAGTTCCAATGACCTTGGATGTTTTTGATTAAAGGACTTCTGTTGCCATCTGTCAGCAAAGGTCATATTCTTTCTAGAAAAAGTCAGTGGGCTCTAACTTCGCTGGAGGGAACCATAGCAGCAGCCAGGGTCCATTAAAATCTTCTCTCTCTTCCCCTGACCACCCCCAGATACCCAAGGATTCAGTCAACACCTGGAAGCAGAGAACACAAGCTTGGATGAGGAATAGCAACAGCTTCTGCATTGAAGAATAATAAAACAATATTTTTCATTACACAAGAAAGTGGGGCAAGTTGTTGGGCCCTCCCGAGCTAGAACGCTCCACACTGGTCTATACATGTGGAACCGAACAGACATTGTTCTGAGAAAATTTTCTGAGAAATAATCTCAATTTTCCTCTCCCCCTCAACCCAAATAAAAGCGGAGCTTTTTGACCCTCCTTTTCAGCTCGGGAAAGGAGAGCTGGGAAAAGACTCTGTGCACTGAAAAGGCAGCCATATTTGCACTTTTCTCCCCTGTACAGAGGTAAGCGATGTGCTGTGCCTTGCGGAACCTCACAAAATGGCAGTCCCTGAACTGGCTTTTCTCTAGGAATCACTGAGATCCACACCCTCTTTTGTGTGTTTCTGGCCCTCGCAAACAGAGAACCTAAATCACTTCGAAGTCTTGGTTCTTTCATTCAGTGTTAACATTGGAGGGTCCTATTTTTCTCTAAATGGTTTACAGACCTCTCTAAGCAGCCCAGGGCAGAAAAGCATCGCCTGGGTTTGCAAAGTGCTCTCTGAAGGTTTATGCAAATTTCTGCAGCAAAAATGTTTGCTCCCTTGTTGCCGAAACCCTCGGGTGTTTACAGATTTGAGCCAATTAGAAGGGCATCTTCTGCTCTTGTCACTGCAAGTCTGTCTGCATAAAACACCATAATGGGGGGTTTCTAGCCACTGTAAGAAAGAAGGTGGTGAGTGGGTGTGTGATGTGTAATTCCCCAAGCTCTTTATTTGGAGACAAATCTCTGCTTTTCCTGGCTACAAAAGGAAACGTATATGCCTACATTTATTACCAACACTTTCTGCACATGTGTAATCTATGTATACGTACAAATGCACCGAATATATACCAAAAAACCCCACCAAATTTGTATATGTTCAAATACACCAGTTATTGCAACAGAGTCTTTTTCTGTACATGAGCTACGATTTTACCATAAGTTAGGGGGCCAATGGAGCCAAAGGTACAACACTTCCAGAACAACACAGAATTCCAAGGAAAGAAGGACATTTCGATCTCCTCTTCCTTCCTGGATTTCCATATCCATCCATGTACCAGATCCCCCACCTGACAGTCTTGCCCAAATCAGTGGCTCTAAAAGGGATATTTGGAGAGCATTCTTGAGTAGGAGACACCGAATTTTGCTAATAGACAGGAGTCCCTTAAATGGAGGGCAGCTGGAGTTTAGCCAGCACCAGTCTCTGGCCAGCTTACCTCCCACCCCCAGACCGTTCGCTAGCCATGCTTTCAGGCTCTTGGCATCCTTGCTCTATACCAGCCAACAGCAGAGCCTCAGGCAGCACACAGAGAAATATGTTTCCAAATCCAGCATGCACGTTTGCAGCTGTCTCCTCTTGTGCACATGTTTCTTAAGCCCTGGGTCACCCGTGACTTAAAACTGTCTTTCCTGGGTCAGGTCAGTGAATGCCACAGTCACAGCCTCTTCCCTGGATAGAAAGCCAGGTGGGGCTTCGCCTCTGGCCTGACCTGTGCCAACATTTCCCTGGTCCTTGAAGTGGCAGGCAAAAGCCCACCAGCGCCTGAGGGGGTAATCCAGGCCTAAAACTATAGGATTCCATTTTCTTACCTGTGCAATAAAAGCCACTCTGGAAATTAAAATGTACCTCTCTAAAAATAAACACATCTAGAAAAAGCAGAGAGCTCTTCAATGTCTACCTGATAAAGGTGCTTTCTCTTTACCGAGAGAAAGGTTAGTTTGCTTGAATTTCTCCTCTTCTCTCCCATCCCTCTTCCCCCTCCTCTTCCCTCGTAAAATGGCAGCTGCAGGAGCAGCTTCGAATGGAAAACGGATATCTTGTTAATAACAGATCCCAAACCCCAGCATCAGTGCCAGCTCAGTGGGATAAGCTGTGGTGTAACCTGGACTCCGGGGCGTCCCCCCTCGGGCCTACAACCGGAGTCCTTTGCGAAGTTCAAAGCTCTTGCAGTATCTTACCAAGGTTATTCAGAGCAAGATGAAGCTAGGATAGCCTACCCGCCCTCTCTGGAAGGAAAGAAAGCTGCCCCCACCGTTGCATTTATTTATTTTTACAACTCACATGTAACTCCTCCACCCACTTTTTATCAAATAGAAACTTTAGCAGAGCAGGCGATTGTTCCTGACTCAGGAAAAGGGTTATTTGCGGCGCTCAAAGACACTAGCTCTAGAAAAAGATTAATTTCTTTATTAAGGAGCTAGCTATTTTCTGGAGCGGTTGTTTACACTCAGATTTTTCTGCGTTTGCTCTCAGGGCTTGTTTCAAATAGGTGAGGCCATCCTGGAGAACAGCAGAGGACGTACCAACCGACATCTGAGACGCGCACAGCAAGTTGGCTCAAAATGGGCGTGCAAACAGAGCGAAGGGAATACAAATAAATACAGCACCTACTCAAAAAACAGAATCCTAGCAGCGGCCACAGCATAGAGACCCAGCGCTTTCAGGCGATACCAAGTGCTGTTCAAAACGAAAGCAAACTGAGAAACGAGAGGCATTCCACAAGGCGACTTGCCGGAGTAAAAAGTTAATGAGTGAAAATGTTATAATTAGCTTTTCAAGTATTCATTCACTCTAGATGATTAAATTGCCATAATTTGTACAGACTATAGAAAAACTATTAAATGTCAACTTTGACATTGTCCTGAAACTTTTGTCACTAGCCCAACATTTTCCCCAAGTTTGAGGAAGCTGCAGAGCCGGGACTACACATTACAGTCTTCAGCTAACATGTGCTTTTCGAATATTTGGCCCAGACTTTTCCCAGAGATATTACATTTACAAAATACTCAAAGAAACGTTTTAGGAGTAAACAAAAGGCACCCGAACCATTCATTATAAAAGCAGAAAGAAAAAACATAAATAATATATTTTAATCAAATAATATAAAGTAAATATTCTGCAGGCATAATTTTTTTAAAAAAATTAATAAACTTCTTTTAATTTACTCACCATAAACAAAAGATTTAAAATGTTCAAGTGCACTTGTCTGATTAATAAAGCATTTTATATTCAATTATTTAGTGCTAATCATTAGGAAGTTTACGTTGTTGAGGCAAATCACCAGCTCAGACATTAAAAACTACCATTATAAAAATATAGCTACAAGGTCAGTATCAAATTACCCTTACATAGGACAGCTCAAGGGCTGCTTCTATGCGATACTAGAAACTTGAATACCCAAATCCCTCTCAAAGCGCAGAAACCTCGAGAGCAGTGACATGAAGGTAGCTTGAAATACAGATAAAGTCCTTTTCAACAAAGAAAATAGGTGGTGTCCACCAGCATATGTTGATCATTAGTTTTAATAGTCTGTGGTAAAATTTTAAAGGTAGAAGTTAATTTGTTGGGCCTTCGGCTCTGTCTTCCTCCAGTTCTTGGGCTTCCTTTTTGGTTTCCCCATCCTTCGCCTCCTGTCGGGAAACCGGGAACTTGTCCTTGTTGTTCTCCTTTTTCCATTTCATTCTCCTGTTCTGGAACCAGATTTTTACCTGTCTCTCGGTGAGGGCTAGGGCGTGGGAAACCTCGATTCTTCTCTTCCTGGTCAGATAAGGGTTAAAAAGGAATTCCTTTTCCAGCTCTAGGGTTTGGAAACGACTGTAGGTTTGTCTTCCTCTTCGTCTACCAGGAGCTGCTGATTAAAAGAAACAAAGAAAAAGAGAGGAAAATAAACGTTTTAAAAATGTAATGGTGCCTCTGCAGGCTGCTGGAGGTTTCTGGAATGGGTGTAAGGGGTATAAGCAAGTCTCTATAGCTCTAATATATATAGGTTGTGCAAGCAAGAGGGCCAGAGAGAAGGTCTTCACAATTATTCTGTCCCCATCATCTTTACATGGTTTCCATTTTAAGACAGAAAAAAACCCCTGTATTACTTTATGAATAAGAGCCACTGTAGCTACACAAGAAGGAAAAAGAGAGGGAGAGGAAAAGGGAGTTTTAAAGCTAGAACGTGAGATGAAAGCAGATTTCTCCCCTCTCCCCGCTTAAAAAAAAAAAATTGCATCCCAACCTTGTGGTCTCATCCAGGGAAACATTTGAGAAGGAGACGAGCTCTGATTTAAGTGGTCTGGGTCTTCGCCAATATTACCACTGGACGATTTACAGTCAGGATATTGTACCAGCTCGGCCTCTTGCTGGGTCGTAAAAATCGGCTGTCTCTGTAAGTTATCGTATCCGTAAAACTTCGCGGGCTCCCCGTGACAGGCAATCCCGCCGCAGGGGGGAGGCGGAGGCGGAGGATGCGGAGTAGGGGGGGGGGCGGCATGGTAGGCTGCGGCCGGGCTGCCCCCGCCCGGG